AGCTTCTACATTCTCCCCTTGAACGCCTGTACAACAGAACAGAAACAAAAAAATGGATAGTGCCAAAACTTTTGAGTTCATAAGTTTAATCCAGGAATACCCATGCTTGTGGCGAAAACAGGACATTAACTTTATGAACAGAGAAACCAAGAGAAACCAATTTCAAGAAATTGCAGACAAGATGAACTTGCATGTGTCTCTTTTGGCATTATTGGGATGAACCCAGTATTCTTTCTCGCCATCAAATACAAGAGACTGTCAACAGTGATGAGTGTCCATCAAATGCATCAAACATATTTTACGGACCGCTACTGCGCAGCTTCTACATTCTCCTCTTGAAAGCCTGTACAACTAAACAGAAACAATACCATGGATAGTGCCAAAATGGTAGAGAATGTTTCTGCCTCGTTCTAAAAAAAGACTTAAAGCGCTCTTCATCTCCCCTTTAAGTCAAGAAACTGGTGATAAAATTATCTGCTTGTGTCTCTTTTGGCATTAATGGGAACCCAGTATTCTTTCTCCCCATTAAAAACAAGGGATTGGGTCAATAATGATGAAGTGTCCATCAAATGCATCTAACATAATAATATTTTACAGACCACCATGTTATGAATTGTCTCCGATAAAAGCAGCGAGCTAGCAGAGAGAACTAGTACACACTGCTTATACCCTGCGTTTGGTGAGAAAATGCAAGCTGATACTGAGCAGTGCACGAGCAGCCAGCGAGCTGACTACTTCTGGACAACTTGCTAAAACAGCTTTTGGTGCGGACACTCGAGCCTACTGCTAGAACTGCTCGTACCGGCTCGACTCAGCTACTGCGCAGCTACTGCTTTTGGTGAGGAAAAACCATAACCCCCCCCCAAAAAAAAAAAAAAAATTGCGTGCAAATAAAGAACCCGGATGCATCTTTTCATTTTCACGGAATGAAAGAGTGATATTTATTTGAATAAACAGCACTGACGGATTTTTAAAATATATAGTACTACAAACAAACAGGATAATACTTCTCTTGATTTTCGTGACGTTAGAACCTATACCCAGGTGAACTGGAAGTTAACAATCACTGAGGCGTGTTTTCTGACGTCACCAGAAAGGGCTTTATACTCTTATTAGCATAATAGAACAAGATATTGAAGAGTACAAACATGTAATCGGGTCTTATTTGTGTGTTGGTGTGTGTGTACG